ATATTAAATGTGGTTTATTAAAAATAGATAACAATAAGTAAACTTAATACTTAAGTATATGAAGTTTTAGAGCCGATGGTCAGTTCTCAGGATTACCAGATTTACATAAAGTTGTGTTTTATAATTTTCAGTTTTAATCCTTCACTAATTTCTATAGCGATAGTAAACAATATTATGTTCATATTAAGAAACCCAATCTCTATCAAAGAAATTTTTCACATAATTACTCAATGTCTGATACTTTTCCAAACGATTCCTACTTAAAATTTCAGGAGCCATATACGGTAAAACTCTATAACCCTTTGTTTTGTGTATGTAAATGTGGAAAGACCCCATTAATACATTTTGTATAACTAATGCATGTTCATCGTTCCTCAACATTGCAGAAATGTTGAACCTACTTCCGATATTAGATATTTGGCTAATAACAGTTACACGATTCCAATAAATATAAATAGGAAAAAAAAAAAAAAAAAAAAAAAAAAACAAATATAAATGTAATTTTCAAGAAGGAGCGTTTGTAGGCTTGAACAAATTTCAGATCAAGTAACGGATTTAATCAAAGAACAATCATATAATGAGAAGATATGAAGATGCGCTTGCAGATTTGAATAATTTTAAAATAAACTATTTCATCAAAGGAAGCTCATCGCAAAATAAAAAAAAAACATTATAAAATACCTACCAAACTTTAGAGATCGAACCAAATAATATATTTGCATCAAGATGAAACCTATCGCATAATGAACAGATATGAAGAAGGGCCTGCAAACTTAAATAGCTTATTAAAAAATTGAATAATGCATTTTACTTTGCATTTTACCTTAAGACAGAAGCATTTATAGACATAAAATTTATAGACATAAAATTTATAGACATAAAATTTATAGACATAAAATTTATAGACATAAAATTGGACTATGTTGATTAGTATGGTAAATGAGAAGTAAAAATCAAACAATTCTTATGAGATAACTTTCATGTGACAGTAAGGCAGATTTTGTGCCCTCAAGTTTATCTCGCGATCATATAAAAAAAAAAAAAAAAAAAAAAGACACGAAAATTTTAATTTTAGAATTTCTTTTCAAGCCATACTATAAATCATCATAATTAAGTATCTTAAAAATGCCAAAGGAGAATTTTGGTAAACGAAGAGCAAGAATTACGCAAAAACAACGTCAGCAGTAGAACGCTCATAAAAAGTTGATAGTTGTGCTTTATCAAGAAAATAGGCATAGTATTCGAGCAACAGCAAATAAATTTGAAATCGAACCAAAGCAAGTTCGTGACTGGAAGAACAAAAAAAGTAACTTAATGCGTGTAGCACTATACATTCAAAGACTTAATACTAGTGCATGACCTAAGTACCCGCAGCTCGAGAATGAACTTTTAGGATGGTTTCGTGAGTTGCGAAGTCAACTAAAGACAGTGACCAGATTTATGATTGGAGTAAAAGCTCGCAGTTTAGCTAACAAACAAGAATATCATACTTTATATCCTGATATTCATAGATGTCAATTTTCTCACAAATAGGTAGATGGTTTTATGTCACGCCATTTTTTAGCGAACTGCCGACACACTACAGTCATACAATGATTGCCTAAAGAATATATTGAAGAACAATAGAGTTTTTTATCGTTTATTCTTTATCAGCGATCTGAACATAATTACCCTTTAAACTTAATAGGAAATATAGATGAAACTCCTATTGCATTTAACATGCCAAACCAAACAACAGTTGAGGAATCTAGAAAAAAAACTATTTCAATTCTTACAACAGGCCATGAACGCACCTGTTTTACAGTAACTCTAGCCTGTCTTGCAGATGGTACTAAACTTCCACTATTCATTATTTTTAAGTTAGTTAATATACCCTGAGAAAGGTTTCCTGATGGTGTATATGTCCATGCGAATCCAAGTGGTTGGATGAACGAGACAGAAATGATCTGGTGGGTAGAGAATATATGACATCGACGAGCTAATTTGGGCTCAAATCCACGTTCGCTTCTTGTTCTTGATATGTTTGCTGGACATAAAACGGATTTTGTAAAGCGTCGCATTTGTGAGCGAAATACAGATATTGCTATAATTCCGAATAGACTAACCTCATGCTTGCAACCATTAGACATGTCTTTAAACAAACCATTTAAAGCAAAAGTTAGTATTGGATCTATCTCAAAATCTTGATAGGCAAAATCTTGACAAAATTTTTGACAAATTTGGCCAAATTTGTCAAGATTTTGTCTTGTCAAGATTTTGCCTATTAAGATTTTGAGATAGAGCTGTTAGTATTTCGATTTTAGTGTAAAAAAATTCTTAATTTTTTTATAAATAGATTCGCCATGCTTATAATCAATGGATGAGTGAAGCTATAAAGGAATATACGCCATCAGGCAAAATTAAACATCCATCATACTCTTTAGTAGCAACCTAAGTCAAAGAAGCTTGGGATGATATTGACCCTGCAATGATTCGACGGTCTTTTAAGTGCTATAGTATTTCTACAGAGGTAGACGGCTCTGAAGATAGTTCAATTTTTGATTTTGAGAAAGCATTAGGTAAAAAGAGAGAAATTGGTGTTGAAGAAGGTAGAAGTCATGATGATGTAGATAATGAAAATGATCAAAATAATGAAAATGATCAAAATAATGAAAGTGATCAAAATAATGAAAGCGATCAAGATAATGAAAGTGATCAAGATAACGAAAATGGTCAAGAATATGAATTTTGTGAATATTATGAAAATGAGGAGAGAGTTTACGTCAATGTTTGGGATTAGTCAATTAGAATATTGTTTAGAGTAGGCAATCCTTAGAATTTTAGAAAGCTATTGTGAATGATCTACTCAATTCACTTGGTTTACCTATTTTTTTTTTTTTTTTGATATAAAAATTTTAATGATGATCTTTATATATTGAAAAAGTAATATGATATGTGCTTATAGCATTTCCTTACATTCAAACATTATTGGCTAATCTTACTCAAACAGCATATAGTAAATGATTTACTATATAAGCGAAACTTTACCTTAATTTTATAACTTATCTGTTATAGCTTACATTAAGTTATCGCTACCTTACTAAAAATTATTTATTTCTTTTCCCTCCAAAAAAAATTTTTAGGATTTATTTTGCTTTTTATAATGCTACACCTATCAAATTCTTAGATTATCTGTTGTAAATTCTACAATCAATAAGACAGCATTTTTGTAAAGATCATTATAGTCAGTTATAATTAATGAACTTTTTGAAGATCAGTTTCATAAAAGGAATAACACAGTGGACAATTCATCCTTTGGCATGTCAAGTATATTAAAATATTTAGATTATTCATCGATCAGCGAAGAGAAATTAACAATGTTTAGAAATTTAACCACTAGCAAGAACTTTTTTGGAAGACTTATCATTTGTAAATATATAGTCATATAAGGCGTTACAATCATCAGATGCTAGTTTAAAATTTAATTTAGTTTTAAAATTAATTTAAATTTAAGTTTAT